ATTTAGAAACAAACGGTGCGCGATTTGGATAAGAAATGAGAGAGTTATGAGCAATCGAAGTCGGACCAGAAACCTGAAATTGCGAACGAAGGAAGTGCCCAGTTCCGGTCCGCCGGACCAGGAACTGGTCAGCTCCGGACCAAACCTAGAAAATTGTTTTGGTCCGCCAGACCGAGGAGAAGAAGCTGAGGAAGCTTGGTCCGACCCGGACCAGAACCTGGTCCGGCGGACCAAGCCCGTTTTAACTAGACTTGACCACGGATGGGCCATAGTGAGATGTGCGACATCAAAATATGAGTGACCATTGCGTGACTATTTGTGGGTAGAATTGCATGGCGTGGAACGGTAACCCGGTAGGGACCGGATACCGTGATACGTATGATTGTACTATGAGAATATTGCACGTTGTGTGCCATGTGTGTAGCTTGCTCGTGCGTACGAGTTAAGCGTGATTGTGTTTGTGGATGGTTGTGGACTCAACCATCAACGTCATGGACTTGACGGGCGTTTGAGACGCGTTTTAGTCGTGTGCGACACGACGGCCAACGTCATGGACTTGACGGGCGTGGATGCGCTCCTAGTCATGGACTTGACTAGGGTATATGGCTAAACCCTATGGTGGACTCCATACGGGTGTGATTATGAATGATGTGATATAATTACGTGTTGTTATTACTTGTGTGTTTCTTGTATGCCATTGTTTTATCACCGTTCTCGCTGGGAACGGGATGACCGGGATCAACCCGGGCTACTCACTAAGCAGTTGTGCTTAGCCCTCGCGGTTATATGTTTTTACAGATCACGAGGATTACGCGTAGCGTACCAGACGACGACGATCCGAGAGAGGCAGCATCATGTACGGGATTTGTATTTTGGACGATGGGACTTGTATTTCCGCATTTTGTACGGTTTAATTATGACTATTCGGACATGTGTTGTTTTGCGATACTGATCGCGTTGTATTCCCGCTGCTTACTCTGATTTGATTTAAAATGTTTTTTGGATTTCGTATTTTCGCTTCCGCAATTTATTATTTTATTGTATATCGTCCATGTGGCACAACCCGTATACTGTACACGGGTTACGGGTGTCACAACTTTTGGTATCAGAGCCACGTTCTTTCCCTGGGAAGGAATCGTGCTCATTACCTAATGATTTTCACCGAAAATGTTTTCAAATCATGTCCGAAGAAAATCCTCTTTTGCCGAGGTCCGTACATTGATGATGCGAGCTGGAGTCGTCGAAGGCTTATTAAATTTAACATGGTGCAGTTAGACTTATATGCTTAAATAGAGATCAACAATTTCCAAAAATTAAGTCCAATGTCTATACTAAGGGATTGGAATTAGGGAACTAATTCCAAAATCCCTAAGAAGCCCTATAGCAGTACCTAAAGGAACCTGTGCCAATCCACCCGAGTGGGAGGTTTAAGACAAAGGGGGAGGACTTATCTCGCTCGCCAACTATATTGACATTAGCAGAGGACCCCCTTAAGTTCAATACGAAGGACCAAAAAGAAGATAATTAAGAATAACAACCGGGCATTCCTTATTACCCGAAGCATAGATTGGAGGACACACCGGTTACCCGAGACTTTCTAATGCTTTTCCCTGATGACTTGTCAGAATTTCTGTCAAGGGGGAGAAATGGATTTCACCACTGACATACTACCGGGTACAGAGTTAATCACCAAGGCTCTATACCGGATAACACCGGTTGTGATGATCGAATTGAATGAGTAGTTTAACGAATAAATAAAAAAGGTCTATACGCCCAACGGTTCACCGTAGGGAACACCAGTACTCTTCGTGAAGAAAAAGGACGGGAGTATGCATTTGTACATCGATTATCGAGGGCTCAACCAAGTGACTATCAAGAATCAGTATCCGTTACCGAGGATTGACGAGTTGCTGAACCAGCTACAGGGAGCCCAATGGTATTCGAATATCGATCTACGATCCGGATATCCCCAAATTCGGATCAAGGAGGACGACATACAGAAGACGGCATTCCGGACGAGATATGGACACTTCGAGTTCGTGATCATGCCTTTCAGACTCACGAACACGTCTGCGGTGTTCATGTAACTGATGAACCGAGTGTTCATGGACTATCTGGATGCGATTGTCCTCTTTTTCATCGATGACCTCCTCATCTACTCGCCAGATCCGCAGACACATGAGGAGCATCTGCGGAAGATATTGCCGAGACTAAGGGAGAACCGACTGTATGCAAAGTTCCATAATTGAAGCTTTTGGTTACAGGAGATTGTATTCCTGGGACATGTGGTATCGGCCCAACGCATTCAGGTCGATCCAGCAAAGATCGAGGTCGTCATGGAGTGGCAGTCCCCAACATCTGCGACGGAAGTCAAGAATTTCTTGGGACTAGCCGGCTATTACCGACGATTC